CACCGGGGGGGGGGGTCCTGGAACCAAACCCCAGTGGATAACAAGGGCTCACTATATATAAAAAGGGTGCCATTCTCACTATTTCAAATGTCTCACATTGGGGGAGTTAACCATTCCAAATTTAGGCTAGCAGAGCATATGAGTAGTATTTCCACCAGCCGTGGCTTGGCATATATTCCATTAAAAAGAATGATATGCAAATTAAGTTACATTTGGCAATAAGCAAATTATTCAAGGCACCAGTGGCTCATTTTTTTCCAGTGGGTTTTTCAGTGCTAAATCACTTGGCTGTCATAACAGAAAATGGAAAAGTACTACACTTCAGTGGCATGTTGTTGTTTTTGGCTGCTTGGCAGTGTACAATTAGCACTCAGAATCCACCGTAGATACCAAAATCCATGGATGCTCAGCTTCCATTATATACAGTGGTGTAATAAAATGGTGTCCCTTATGTAAAATGGCAAAACATTTGCTTTTTTGGAATATTTATATATATATATATATACATATTTCAAGTCATGGATGATTGAACCTGTGGATATAGAATTCATGGATATGGAGAGAATTAAGAATCTCTGCTTTACTTGATATTTTTTTAATCTTTGTAAGAGCAAGGAGTTCAAAGGGTAGGAATGCAGATTACATTGGTTAAACATTCATATATGAAAGGGCCCTGTACATACTCAGGAGGGTACTATCATATAGGCTATAGCATGTGAGGGCAACCATAGAGAATTGACTTTCCATGTTGTCTTCCACTTGCTTGCCTGTGCTTATTGGCTTTCCTTTTTAGCTTTTAAGAGGCTACTGTTTCCATGTTGCCATGAATCATATTTGATTAAAAATATGACATCTCTATATTAAAATGAAAAAAAGTGCATCATCTCCCTCACCAGGATGTATATACCTCTCAGGTAGGTTGGTTGGTCGGTTAGTTGGTTGTTTTTTAAAAACAGCTTCCACATTGGGAGATAAACAGGAGTACAAATGACCTATATGTATGTGGTATGGAGATTAAAAGATGGAACAGATTTTGTTATGTTTCTTCTGAAGCCAAGTCATGATCTATAAAGGGTGTTCTCTGTATCCAAAACGCAAGATTCTGGGATTACAAACAGAGGATAACTATCGCCTTTTGTGTATAGTTGACTCTGCAAGACATTTAAGTCTTCTCAGCAAATTTTGGAAAACATTAACTGTTGCAGAAAAAGTTTCAGTGAAGAATTTGGCCTTCTTAGGAAACTCCAGGAGCTCCTTTCTTAAAGACCAAATTCACAGAGTGCTGACAGAATGAACTAGATAAATAGTCAGGGAACATTTGATGCCAGAATATCATCATATAAATACCAGACTATCATACCATATAAATACCAGACAACAATGGACAGATCTCCATTGTTGCCTTGAGCCCTGGAATTACCTTCCTTATGCAGTTCAGAATTGCTTCTCTCACGTTTCTTTCCAGAAAGGTTTTAAAACTTTAGTTTTCTCGATGCATTTGACTATAGAGATTTGCTGTGTGGTTGTCAGTGTAGTTAAACGATATAGTGAAACATTTCCCCTGAAATACAGTGCTAAGGTTAGACTATTGAGAACTACCTAAAATTATTTGTTGCAGAGAGAGATTGGAAGTAGAAGCTATCTTACAAAAAACTAAATAGCTCTAGTTGATATAATTAGATCCTTTGTGACAAAACAGGGTCTGTTTAAGGTGACCTAAAGGTGTGAAAGGAACATGTGTCAACTTGACATAATGCGGTGTGTGTGTGTGTGTGAGTGAATGATCCCCCCCCCCCCCACGCAAATGGTGGGATTTAATATGGTATACAAAATACACATTCAGAGCTATTGCATGTTCTTGGAGTCTTGCTACAAAATATATGTACATAATTGACATGTCTCCCAGAATGCTGTGCTTCAGTTGCAGCAATACTGTATTTTCACAGATGATCAAAACACAGTATTTTGTACCTGGAAGAATGTGAGACTCCCTCCTCAATCCCTGAATGGCACATCCTTTGTCGTTGTTATGCTTGCCGTGTGCAAAAATCATTGTTACCTATTAAATATTCCCAATGAGATTAATAACAATCCCCAACATGAATTCTCACTTTTCACCTTCCTGTTCTACCCTTTTCTGTGAACTTCTCTTTTTTGCATTTTTTTAAACTTCAAAACAAAAATAAAAAATGGGAAGACTGTGTACTTCCAGGCTGTATAAAAAAACCTGCTCCAAAATACTCTTCCCGGAACGCTTATTAAAATAGAAAGAGTAGCAAGGCTACCCACTCCTCTCCCATTCTATATTGGTGAGGGTTTAGTGGGGGGAAATGGAAACACTGACTTGTTGCTCATTTGTTGTGTAAGGGAAGGGACCACTTCTGTCAACTCCCACCATTTGCAAAATACCATGTTCTAATCTATGCCAATCCCAAGGGGTCCCAAACTCCCTTGGAGCAGATTTTCAGGTGCGGGGGGGGGGGGGGCTACAGAGAGAAAGGAGAGATGCAAACTACTCTTTTATTCCTGGATGGAAAATTAGGGTCCATTTCATTTCCCAAAGGTTGTAGAAGGGAGTGGGTGAACAGCCACACAACAGTTGTCGTAGAACAAAGTTTATGCCTTCTTCACACATAGATGAAATGTTATCATCCAAACTGTAAGAGTTATTTTGTTCCCTGGAAAACACCTTCATGTGACCAGTGGCAATCGCACCCGGTTTGGTGCCTTTCACGTGTATCAGGCTATCTTCAATGAGGATAATGCTGGTTGGGAATGATGGGCATAGTAATCCAGTACAGCTGGTGAGCATCCAGTTAGGGAAGGCTGCTTTATGACTCCAGTATTAAGGGAGGAAATAGCAGGATTTTGCCAAATGCGGGATGTCCCTTGTAATGAGGAACAGTTGAAGGGGTGAGATGAAAGTCTCGTCTCTTGATCTGTACTGACAGGAAAGCGAATAAAGCTAGCTCAGGGATTTTGAGCATTTGCGTTTTATTCAGCTTACATTTCCAAATGGATGCAGAAAGTAAAAGGTATGAGGCCCTTGGGCCTTTCCACTCTCTGTGTCCCAACCCAGTTGTTTGGGCATACTACCTTATTTTCCTGCATATAAGACTACTTTTTAACCTGCAAAATCTGTGGTTAAAGTGGGGGGTCGTCTTATACGCCGGGTATAAGGATAAGGAAGATAGAGGTGCTAGAACTCTATATTTTGACTGGAAAAATGGGGGTCGTCTTATACGCCGGGTCGTCTTATACGCTGGGAAATGCGGCAGTTTTGGCTGATTCCTAGCTCAGCTTTGGCAGAGCTTATCTTCATTAACTAGCAGAGTAGCTGAGCTCTTGAAATCAGTTGCAGTTGCACTGAGCAACTTTGCTCAGGCAGCATGCATCTCCTGTTTCTAAACTGGTGATCTTTTTCTAAGATGCCAGAAGTCACCCAACTTTCTATCCCTCTTGCTTTAGCCTCCCAGCCATTTCTTCTTCTGGACTTGGACAGGTATTAATGTGTTAATGAGGCTGCAAGGTGCCCTAGACCTCAAGGAAAAACAATGAAAGCAAGGGGGTGGCTCAAAATTATTTCTTTCTAGTTAAAGAGAAAGTGGGACTCTTTCTTCTGGGTGATTAATCCCCTTTTCTCCCCTACTTAAGTCTAGAAATTACTAGATTATGAACCTCAAGTAAGATTTTGTAATAGTACATACAGGAGACACACTTAAGGACTCGGTGTCGAATACACCGGGTTAAGCAGGTTTTTCCATGCCCCCCTGCAAACATCACCAACTGCATACGGGCCAGGGTTATTTCCATAGTGTGAATGGGGTCTATGTTTGCTCAGAGAAGGGA